AAGCCACATTGAGGGCTTTCTTTCATGTGGGAGTCTGAAGCTAGCTCTGAAGTGCGCTAAACAATCCCTGAAGATGGAGCCTCTTTAGAAACTGCGGCTAAACAAACCAACCAACTTTTCAGAACCAACTATGGACCCTTCCACACAGCCCTGTATCCCTGAATATCAAGGCAGAAAACCTCACATTATCTGAGTGTGGACTCAGATAACGCAGTTCAAAGCAGTTATTGTGGGATATAGGGCTGTGTGGAAGGGCCCTATGACAATAATCTCAATCAACATGGAAGGCATACCAGCTGCCAAAGAACAGCTGCTCTATGAACTATGCCAAGATAAGAAATGTGATAAAGCAACTGGGGCTGGATTCAATCCCATACAGTTGGATAAAATCCACATTGAATTGAATTATATAGCAGAGTGGACTCAGATAATCCAATTCTAAAGTGATATTGTGGATTATCTGCCATGATTATCTGCCCCCCCCCCCCCCATCAGATAAGCTCTTCCAAGCACGCACTTCGTCCTCTTTTTTTCCCGCGCTTTTGCAGAAAGGATTCTGGCGAAGGAGAGAGAGGAAGGAAGGCGCGCGCGGACTGGGAGCAGGACACCGCGCGGACACACGTCCCTCTCGCGCTCCAGCGTTACCTCTGCCCCCTCCCCGCCCTGGGCCATTCATTCCCTCGCCTGTGTGTGGGGAGAGCAGAGCACTCACCTATACCGTAGAATGAATGCAGCTTTGACTGTCATGGCTTCATGCTACACGATTTTTGATGAGGCATCAGAGAAGGCTGAAGACAAGTGTAAAAAACTACAGCTCTAACCAGGATCCCATAGCCTTGAGCCAGAGCAGGCAAAGTGGTACCAAACTGCATTCATCCTACAGTATAGACCAGGCATAGGCCCTCCAGGTGTTTTGGACTTCAACTCCCACAAATCCTGACTGCCTCGAGCCCTTTCCTTTTCCCCTCTCAGCCGCATTTGCATGTTTCCGAACTGCTAGGTTGGCAGAAGCTAGGGCTAACGGTGGGAACTCACCCTACTCCCCGGATTCGAACTGCCAACCTTTCGCTTAAGCGGCTGAAGAGGGAAAGGAAAGGGCCTGAGGCTGTGGGAGTCCAAAACACCTGGAGGGAGGGCCCAAGTTTGCCCATGCCAGGTGTAAACAGAAGCACTTTCTGTCTCTTCATAGGTAAAGGTTTTCCCCTGACATTAAGTCCAGTCGAGTCCGACTCTAGGGGTTGGTGCTCATCTCCATTTCTAAGCCGAAGAGCCGGCGTTGTCCGTAGACACCTCCAAGGTCATGTGGCCGGCATGACTGCATGGAGCGCCGTTACCTTCCCGCCAGAGCGATACCTATTGAGCTACTCACATTTTTTCATGTTTTCGAACTGCTAAATTGGCAGAAGCAGGGGCTAACAGCGGGAGCTCACCCGGCTCCCCAGATTCAAACTGCCAACCTTCCGGTCAGCAAGTTCAGCAGCTCTAAGCCGAAGAGCCAGCGTTGTCTGGAGACACCTCCAAGATCATGTGGCCGGCATGACTGCATGGAGCGCCTTTACCTTCATAGGGTAAATGTAAAGGTTTTTCCCTGACATTAAATCCAGTCATGTATGACTCTGGGGGTTGGTGCTCATCTCCAGTTCTAAGCCGAAGAGCCGGCGTTGTCCGTAGACACCTCGATGGTCATGTGGCTGGCATGACTGCATAGTCTTACATAAACTCTCAACCCTGCCTGTCTCCCCAGTCGTTCCTCTTATTGAACTCTCCACTCTCACTCTCTCTCACACACACACATACAGGATATATAGACACAAAACACACACTTCAGGCACTTTCCTGGCATAGCTGACAATTCCTTCTTGGCCACACACAAACATTTAGGGACTCAGATCAATAATTATCAGCGAATTCCCCACATCACGTTACTACTTATGATGGGTGATTGAACCATCCTCACACATCTCCCCGTTACCTAATGCTTTCTCACACATACACAAACACAGAGACTCTTCAGCTCAACCTCAACCAACTCCTCTCAACATAGCCATTGATTTCCTAGTGTATTGTCGAAGGCTTTCATGGCTGGAATCACTCGGTTGTTGTAGGTTTTTCGGGCTATATGGCCATGTTCTAGAAGCATTCTCTCCTGACGTTTCGCCTGCAGCTATGGCAAGCATCCTCAGAGGTAGTGAGGTCCTCACAACCTCTGAGGATGCTTGCCATAGATGCAGGAGATAATGCTTCTAGAACATAGCCATATAGCCCGAAAAACCTGCAACCCAGATTTCCTAGTGGTTTGGAGCACAGAGCCCTCCTTCTCCCCTCAAGTTGCCCCCAAACCCTTTCAGCGTCTCTTCGCGACCCTTCCCCTTCCCAAAGAATCTCCCATCGCTCATGATCCCCTGGAATCAATGGCCCTCGGAGGGGCAAGCACCCCAACACCCCGACATTGGACACCCAGCTTCCCAACTGCAACCGTGATCTCATGATCGCTGCCCCCTCCCTTCAACCCGCAATAGGCGCCCAAAGGACCATTTTCCCTCCTTCTCCTCAACTTATGGCAGACCCCAGTCCACGGCCATAGAGATGGGGAGAAGTGGGAGCCCTTACAGTGGCATTTAAAGTCCCAGGTGGACTGACACCCCTCCCCGCACAAGGAAAAACTCACGGCAAAATAGCCTCCCAATTGTATTTGTGTACACACACACACACAAGGGTGATGAATCAATCTATTTATCTATCTCAGAGGTGGTTTTCTCCCCCCCCCCCCCCATCCAATCCTATGGGTTCTTCCTCTCCTCTGAGAGAGTTTGCAGGGACAAGGGTTAGGTATCTATGGGATRTATATCAATTTATCTGAATACCGGATTTTATATATGCGGTTGTCTATCTGAGCCCTTTCACATAGCCATATAACTAAGTGTCCTTCCACACAGCCCTATATTCCAGAATATCAAGGCAGAAAAGCGCACAATATCTGCTTTGAACTGGGTTATCTGCCTGCACTGGACTTAATGTCAAGGGAAAACCTTTACCTTTACCTATCTGATTTTCTACCTTGATATTCTGGGCTGTGTGGATGGGCCCTCAGAATACCAAGGCAGAAAACCCCACATTGTCTGCTTTGAACGGGTGATCTGAGTCCACACTGCCATATAATCCAGTTCAAAGCAGATAATGTGGGGTTTTTTTTCAGCTATGTGGAAGGGGCCTCAATCATTCATCCATCCATCCATGTATCTATCTATCGGGATATATATCCTTCTATATGTTGTCTAAAGCTTTCATGGCCGGAATCACTGGGTTGCTGTGAGTTTTCCGGGCTGTATGGCCATGTTGCAGAAGCATTCTCTCCTGACGTTTCGCCTGCATCTACGGCAGGCATCCTGAGAGGTTGAGGGGTCTGTTGGGAACTAGGCAAGTGGGGTTTATATATCTGTGGAATGATGTCCAGGGTGGGAGTATATTCTTCGACTTCCTCATTCAGTTCTATGGGTTCTTTCCTCCTCTGAGAGAGTTTGCAGGGACAAGGGTTATATATCTATGGGGTTTTATATCTATGGGGTTTTTCAATGTATCTGTATACGGGGTTATCTATATGGGATATATATCCTTCCAGTTGTATAGGTTCTTTCCCTCCTCCGAGACAGTTTGCAGGGACAAGAGTTATATATAGGGGTTTTCATATCTATGGGGGTTGTCTATCTATATACTAGGTTATCTATATGGGCCTGTCTATCTATCATCGATCTATCTATCGGGACATACATCCTTCTAGTTCCTCATTGAGTCCTATCGGTTCTTTACCTCCTCTGAGAGAGTTTGCAGAGGCAAGGCAATGGGGATTATGTATGAGGCTTCTCTGCTGGTCGGGTTGAGCTCCCTCTGTTAGCTCCGGCTCCCCATGCGGGGACATAAAAGAAGCCTCGCACAAGGATGGTAAAACACCAAAACATCGGGCGTCCCCTGGGCAACGTCTTTGCAGACGGCCAATTCTCTCACACAAGAAGCGACTTGCAGTTTCTCAAGTCGCTCCTGACAAGGGAAAAAAAATCTATCAATATTGCAGTTGAACATATACAGTATGGGTTGCTATGAGTTTTCCGGGCTGTATGGCCATGTTCCAGAAGCATTCTCTCCTGCCGTTTCGCCTGCACCTATGGCAGGCATCCTTAGAGATTTGTTGTATGTATGTCGGGGGTGGTTTGATCCTTCTGGTTCCTCATTGAGTCCTCTGGGATCTTTCCCTCCCGCGAGAGAGTTTGCAGGGACAAGGCAATGGTTAGCTATAGACATGTATAGGGGTCCCTGTGAAGAGGGGTTGGGGTTGTTTACTCCTCTAAGGATCATTTAGAGGCTGCCATGAGACCCCCCCCCCGGGGGCATGGTGATGTGGATCCGGAATAGTTCACTTACGGACCCACTGGAAGACAGTCCTACTTATGATGGTGAGAGTTACATACATGTATGGCAGATAAGGGGCCCTTGCACACAGCCATATAACCCAGACTATCAAGGCACAATGACCCGCAATATTTGAGTCCACACTGTCATATATCCCAGTTCAAAGCAGGTAAGGTGGGATTTTATTCAAAGGTTTCATCCTTCTCTCCCCCCCCCCCTTCATTCCAATAGGTCCTTTCCCTCCCCGGAGAGAGTTTGCAGGGCTCCCCAGCAATAGACAAGCCTTCTGTCAAACCCCCGGGACAAGTTGGATCAGGTGGGGGAAAGGGTGCGAAAAACAACAGAGAGAAAGCCTTGCAGCCCCCATTTCCGAAAGATCCGGGATAACGAGGCACTCTGGGTTGCAAACCCGACCTGAGCTGCCCCGTTTCAGTCCTCCGCACTTTGCACACGCAGCCTCCATCCGATGTGCTTTCCCCGCCATATGCACCCCAACCAAGCCGCCCTCTATGCCTCTGCCCCGCTGTGAGAACTTGTGTCCTTGGACCCCCCACCCCACCCGGCCCCCCTTTCCTCCCACCCTTGGAAGCCCTTACCTTTTTCAGCGTTGACATATTCTAGCGCGTTATTCATGGAGCAGAGAGAGAGGGTAGAGAGTGGGCTGCATAACTGGGCTGGTCAGCGAGTCAGGAGAAAGTAGTAGTGGTGGTGGTAGTAGTTGTCATGGTGGTAACAGTGCAAGGAATACTTGTGCAAAAAGAAGAAGAGGAAGAGGAGGAAGGAGGAGGAGAAGAAGAAGAAGGAGAGAGGCAGAGGCGCGCGCCTAACAACATGACTCTCCCTGGGATTTGTCACCTCGCGCGCTCTCTTTCTCCCCGTCTCGCGCGCGCTCCATCCACATGCTGAAAAGAAGCCAAAAGGGGAAAAGGAGAGAGAGAGAGGGGGAAAAAAAACCCGTCCGCGCGCCAGCGTTCCTGCCGCTGCTGCTTTGGCCAACTGCGCGCGCGGATGTTGCTGCTGCTGCTGCTGCCCCAAAAAGCCACCCTCGAGGCAAAATTCTCACGCTCTGCGCAGGCGCGCTCCGCTCCCTCCCTTCCCGTACAGCCCCGACGTTCCATCACTCCCCAAAGGGGGCCGCCCACTTTTCGGCTCCAGAACCAATAGGAAGTCGGTTTTCCTACGGAGAGCCACGCCCACGCGGAAGAGGAAAGCTGGAGGGGAGAAGAAGCGAAAAGGAGGTTGTGTGTTGCCGCTTCTGCTGCTTCTTCCCAGCCGGAGAGAAACAACTCGGCTGCTGGTGAAGAGAAAGAGGATGTCCCTGAGCAAGAGGAAAGCGGCAGGTAAGGCCCAAAGGGTGGCAAAGGAGGGGGCTCTGCGCCAAGGAGGGGACTTGGGGGCCTAGCCATCTCCCTAAAGCCCCTCCAAATGGAAGAGATAAGTGGATGAGGAAACCAATGGAGAGGGGGCGAGGGTTTGGGGGGAAAGAGGGTGTGCACGACTGGGCTGATGTCCTTCTTTGATGGTCTCTGCACAGGAGATTAGCGAAAAGCATCGAAGGGGCGTGTGTTGTGTGTGTGTGTGTGTGTGATATGTGCCTTCAAGCGGTTTGTCAAGCCCCACCTGGGACTTTAAATGCCACTGTAAGGGCTCCCGCTTCTTCCCATCTCTGTGGCCGTGGATTGAGGGCTGCCATAAGTTGAGGAGAAGGAGGGAAAGTGGCCCTTTGGGCGCCTATTGCGGGTTGAAGGGAGGGGGCAGCAATCATGAGGTCACAGTTGCAGTTGGAAAGCTGAGTGTCCAATGTCGGGGTTTTGGGGTGCTTTCTTCTCAGAGGGCCATTGATTCCAGGGGACCATGAGCAATGGGAGACTCTTTGGGAAGGGGAAGGGTCGCGAAGAGACGCTGAAAGGGTTTGAAGGCAACTTGAGGGGAGAAAGAGGGCTCTGTGCTCCAAACCACTAGGAAATCTGGGTTGTTGTAGGTTTTTCGGGCTATATGGCCATGTTCTAGAAGCATTCTCTCCTGACGTTTTGCCTGCATCTGTGGCAAGCATGGACTGCATAGGGTTTTCTTGTGGCCCTTCCACACAGCCCTATTCTCTATTTATTATTATTACATATATTATTTTCCTCTATTTATTATTGCTATTATTATATTTATTATTTTTCATTATTATTATTACATTTATTATTCTACTCTATTTATTACTGTTATTATTACATTTATTATTCTATTCTACCACTAAATCACAATTATCTGTTCATTATTTATCTGTTCATAATTATCCTCTTTGAACAGGGTTATCTGAGTCCACAAGCAGAAGTGGGATTTTCTGTCTTGATATTCTGGGATATAGGGCTGTGTGGAAGTGCCTTAATTGACCTCAGCAGCTCCTCCAGAACAATGACCTAAGGGCTTTTCCACACAGCTCTATATCCCAGAATATCAAGGAAGAAAATCCCACAATATCTGCTTTGGACTGGGTTATTTGAGTCCACACTCCCATATATCCCAGTTCAAAGAAGAAAATGTGGGATTTTATTCAGCTATGTGGAAGGGGCTTTAGGCAAGGAATACTCAGTCCCTTCCTCTGAAATAGTTTACCTGGCATTCCCATCCAAGGTGGCTTCCCATCCAAGTACTCAGCAGAGCTTCCCATCCAAGTACTCAGCAGAAATGATTCTGCAAAGTTTCCAAGATCAGATTGTACAGTGGAATCTCCCAAGACTATTCTCCGATTACTTCTCCTGTGGAATGGTCTTAGGTGGAAGTCTCTCACCCAAGTTCTCTCCATGGCTGATTATCCTGAGCTTCCAAGACTAGAATCTCCTGTCTGGAATGTAACACTATGTAACAAAACTTGAAAAAATATTTTCCTGTTTTGAAAGTGTTATTTCCTGTTTAATTGTGTGGTACTTACTTTGAAAGCAGTCGTTATGCTCCAGAAACTTTGTTTTGGTGGCTGTCACAAACATGTCAGAAGTAAGTTGGGGGTACAGTTAAAATGCATTTAAAAACACGAAGTTAAAAGAAAGGACTTGGCATTGTACTGATGTCCTTGTAAGAAGATCCTCCATTGTGCATGTGGCAGGGCTCAGGCTGCTTTGCCGTATGTGGTCTGTGGTTTGCTCTTCTCCACACTCACATGTCGTGGACTCCACTTTGTAGCCCCATTTTTTAAGGTTAGCTCTGCATCTTGTGGTGCCAGAGCACAGTCTGTTCAGCATCTTCCAAGTCACCCAGTTTTCTGTGTACCCAGGAGGGAGTCTTTCATCCGGTCTCAGCCATTGATTGAGGTTCTGTATTTTAACCTGCTACTTTTGGACTCTCACTTGCTGAGGTGTTCCTGCAAGTATCTCTGTAGATCTTAGGAACCTATTTCTTGACATTGGCGTGCTGGCTGATATCTGAACAGAGAATGGGCCAGAGATGTCACTGCCTTGGTCCTTTCATTATTAGTTGCTACTTCCTGACGGATGTCAGGTGGTGCAATATCAGCTTGCCACAAATTATGTTTAATTGATTAAGACTGGATGAGGTATTCATTGAAAAACTATAGCAAAATGTACTGCAGGTTGTCTTGCGAAAACAAAGTTTTTGCACTTTAATAAACTTTTTCCAAGTTTTTATGATAGGGCCAATTAGGAAATGATGTTTATAACCCAGGAACAAAACTTGTGTTAAATAGTATAGTTAGGCAGCACCGAAGTCGCCACAGATAAACACAAGGTGAACCAAGGCTGCTTTTTCTAGATGACAAAGCTGAAAACACGTTCCAAGTAATGCACAGCAATGAATGTCCTCTTCTATAGCCTGCAGGCTCAAGAAATAGAAAGAAAAGGCTAATAAAATGTTGAAAAGTGTTTGGCAAAGAACTGTGTTGTTGAAGGCTTTCATGGCCAGAATCACTGGGTTGCTGTTAGTTTTCTGCGCTGTATGGCCATGTTTCAGAAGCATTCTCTCTTGACATTTCACCTTCACCTATGGCAGCCATCCTCAGAGGTTGTGAGGTCTGTTGGAAACTAGGAAAGTGGGGTTTATATATCTGTGAAAGGTCCAGGTTGGGATAAAGACCTCTTGTCTGTTGGAGGCAAATGTGAGTGTTGCAATTGGAAAAGGTGTGAGAGGATGTACAGAAGTTTGTGCAGCAACACAGTGCTTCTCAGGCTATCTGATGTGGCAGATCGGCAATGCTTTCCCCACTGTGCCAAGGCATAGCTAACATATTTGTTCCCCTTTGTTGAAGTTGTTTCTTTCTTTCATGAAAACTTGATAGGAACCACACAAAGAAGAGTGGGATCATGGGATGGATTGGTGTTCATTACTGAAGAATACCTTTGTTAGAAAGAAGTGGATGCATTTATTATTACATCATCTACTAATATCAGTCTGTCTGAGATGGTGGAATGCCATGGTTTTGGTGAGGTAGCAAGGAGTGGGTGGTGGCTAATTTTTGAAGGAAAGAGTTTTTGTGTCCTGTGGTGGGCTCAGTGTCTCTAATCCTTCCTTACTGCTGTGGAATGCAGTAAAAGATTAGATGTCCCATTGCCAGACATTTCGGAAATAGGACTCATGTGCCAATCAAGTGCTTACACCGCTGTGATATTGCCAGCCCAGTCCTTTTATTACACAGAATAGGATGTAGTTGTACCCACTGACCTTATTACACAGAGCTGCTTATGTATTAGGGTGGAGAGTGTAGTGTTTTGTTTTAGTAAATGTTTCAGATAAGATCCTGCTTGATTCACAAATGCAAATAGTGCACGAAACTGTACAAATGGGAGTAGAAAGGGTCCACTGGTAGACCTCAGAGTGGAATGAGAGTGCTGCTTCCTCTTATTCCTCAAATTAGCCAAACAGTTTTTTTTAAAGAAAAGGAAAACATTTTATTATTATTCATTTATGCCCCCCCCCCTTTTCTTTCAATAATGAAACTCAAGTTGGGTAATATATTTATGAACAATGGAAATCGAAAACTACAGTCATTAATCCAAATATAAATGTTAAGAGTTATTTTAAAAGTACTGTATATAAGGTTAAAACCCTTAAGCATTAAAAAGCATTAAAAGAACTATATCTAAACTTTAAAAACATCACTCCAGAGTATTAAAAGCCTATTCTAATCATTTTCTAAATCCTGAAATCTTAAAAATGTTTTGACCTGCTGATGGAAAGAAATAAATTTAAGTTTGGGAGCAGCCACCTGAAAACCTCTCTCCCTTATTCTCATCAAATGAGTCCAAGGAAGCAATGAGACTAAGGGCCCTTCCACACAGCCCTATATCCCATAATATCAAGGCAGAAAATCCCACATTATCCGAATGCGGACTCAGATAATCTAGTTCAAAGTATATATTGTGGGATTTCCTGCCTTTATATCCTATATCCCAGAATATCAAGGTAGAAAAGTCCACATTATCTGAGTGCTGACTCAGATAACCCAGTTCAAAGCAGATATTGTGGGATTTTCTGACTTGATATTTTCGGATATCGGGCTGTGTGGAAGAGCCCAGAGAGAAGAGCTTCTCCAGATGGCCTTAGAGCTCTGATACACTCAAGCACCACTTTCCAGCTCAGACATTCAGAAAGTCCTTTCACCATGCTATTAAAAGAAGATGGTTCCTTTTTTTGGTAAAAGCTAAGGTCCAGTATTAACTCTTAACTCTGTATTAACAAAAAGAGAATTATTCCCTTCTCTGAGTAGAGTGGCGAAAGCTGAGAGCTTAGTCCATCCAGGGAGAACCTAAAAGAAGCATAGATTTCCTCATCTTCTCTCAGCACTTTTTGAGGGGAAATGTCAAGAGTTGCTGTTGCCACCACCATTTTCCTGTCCAATTTTCAGAAAAGGCAGAAGTGAGGATGCGGCAGAGAGTTAAAGTTCAATACTTACTTTACATAAGGGTTATTTTTTTTACTAAATTTTCTAGACTTAACATAAATACATAGTGTATGTTCTCTAAGAATGGGAAAACAGACCTTTATTTCATAGAATTCGAACTTCTGATACTTAGTTCATATTCTGCCTGATTCTCCTCTGAGCCTCCTCTTGTCATTTCCGTGATTAATTCTTTGATATCAACTGTAGTTATCTGTCACAACAAAACCTGCCAAAAATAGATGTTCCACATTGTATAAGCCCAAAATAATGAGTTCAAGACTTTGGTTACTTATTAGCAAAAATGTTCTCATCCTGGTTCATGCCCTCTGTAGGAGGTTGTAATTGTTCTCAAATTCCTTTTTTCCACCATCAGAGTAGGAGCCCCTGGTGGCGCAATGGGTTAAATCCTTGGCGGGCAGGACTGAAGACCGATAGGTCTCAGGTTCGAATCTGGGGAGAGTG